CCAGAGAAAAGCCGTCAATCACTCCCATCTCCCCAGTCTCCAGCCACACTCAGTGCTCACCCAGCCTGTGACCTAGCATTTCTATATCTGGCACCTGACTCCGTGTGGAGTCTCCAAACCCAGCAGATTCCTGCTGTGCGCTCCCGCACCGCTCCTCCCGGGGAGGGCAGGGGAGTATCCCTGGATCTGCCACTTGTTGGGTCCCTGCTGGAAGAGCAATGGCCTGACTGTGCTGTGGATCACAGTTTATGGCAACCCTGAGCTGAGAGCCCACTCCTTGGCTCCGTCTCTGCAGCCAGCTTCCCTGTTCCAATACCTGGGAGCTCTGCTGCACTCAGGCACCCCCAGTCTTCCTGTGACCCCGAGGGTCCTCAGACCACACTCTCCCAGCGAGGGTTCCACCCCCTGCTTAGCCACTGGAGTGACATCCCTCAGGGGAGCAGACTTCTAAAAGTTCCGATTTTGTGCTCTGCTGCTCTATCACTTGCCAGAAATGGCTGATGGAGGGCCCTCTCCCCTGCCGTCTATCCTCCCAAATATCGCCTCGGATTCACTTCTCTGCACGCCCTACCTTCCAGAAAGTGGTTGCTTTTCTGTTCAGAGAGTTGTTGCTATTCTTTTCTTCGATCTCCTGTTGAGTTCTTAGGTGTTCAGAATGGTTTGATCCCTATCCAGCTGAATTCCAGGGATCAGACAAAATCCAGGTTTCCCACTCCTCTGCCATCTTGCTCCTCTACCCCGAGGATCTATAGTCTCTTAAACTCAGGTCATAGTAAACTGGAGAAAAGGGAATACCCAAGCTTTTCAAGGACTGTTAAACACAGCAACTGAATTGGCAATGATACCCGAGAACCCAAAATATCCTCATGGACCCTTGTTAGAGAGGGTGCACATAGGGGCCTGGCAACATATGGAGGATCAGATCCAGCTCACAATGCGTCCAGAGGGCCCAATGACTCCCATGGTGGTCATGTTCAAGTCCTTGAAAATATCATCGGTGAGTACATACTTGATAGCTGGCAGAATTCTCACATTCCATCCTTTAAATGTGGGGTAGGGGCTATGATTGTAGAGATGGCCAAGGGAAAGACCTGGAAACTGCCTCCTCTCAGGCTAGTAAAATAAAATTTTAAGATGTTTTCCAAGGGCTGGAAGGAGGAGGTAATGGGAAGTTCTGATTAATGGTACAGAGTTTTAGTTTATAAGATGCAATGAGATGTGAAGATGGGTTGAGGGATGTTGTACAAAGATATTAATGATTTAATAAAATTAGAATGTACTCCAGGAATTTTAATGTCCTTCATGACATTAAAATAAATTGTATTTAAAAACTGCAAATATGGAGAAATGAACACAGGACAATTTCATCTTGCCATTTATACTCTTCCATTTAGGTCCAATCTCAGTCATCTTATTTCAGCCATTTTCCTTGAGACAATTTTGATCAAACAACATGTTCTCATTCTGTGCCCACATCAAAGCTTAAAATCCGAATTCTGAAAAACAGGAAAAGTTTTTTGAAAAGGTAATTTTCAGAGTTAATCTATTAAGACATTTTATTCCTTGATCAATTTTTTAAATATAACACAAATTTAAAATTCTATTTCATCCACTTTAATTTGAATTCACTGATTTTTAAACTCAGAATCCACTTTTTAGGCAAATGGCTTGGATCTTTTTTATCCATATCATAATCTCCTGACTTTAGCTTCTGTTGTTTTCAGGTTTGTTTACCTGTCATTCTTTTTACCACGTCAACTTTTCTGATGCTCATTTTGAATATGAAAATATTTGTCGCCCCAGTTTTATTGATATAATTGACATAGAGCACTGTGTATGTTTAAGGAACAGGGCATAATGATGTTAGTTTCATATATCTTGAACCGATTACCAGAGTAAGTTTAGTTCACCACCATCATCTCTTAAAGATACGAAAATAGAGTAAATCAAAAAGAAAGAAAAGGCTTTTCTTTGTTATGAGAACCCTCAGATTGGCTCTCTGAACAGCTCTCAAATACGCCATAGAGCAGTAGTAACTGTAGTCATCTGGTTGTACTGTAAATCCCTATGACTTATTTATCTTAAACCCGGAAGTTTGTAACTTTTCACCATTCACTCAATCCCGACCCCACCCTCTGCCCTCTGTTTCTTCTCCTTACTTCAGTCCGATCTCTTTTTCTGAGTTAATTTTTTCCTTTTCTTTTTTTTGTATTCGATTCCCATGGGAAAAGAAAAATTTATCTATATCTATTTATGTATATATATCTATTTATATATGTAGTATCTATCACCTATCTATCTCTCTATTTACATCTTACCTACATATATATAGTATTAGCCTTTGTCTGTTTCATTTACTTCACGTGGCATAATGCTTTAAAAGTCCAGGACTGTTATCCCATTTAGTAGGATTTCCTTTCCTTATGGCTGATTAATATGCCATTATATGCAAAACACTTCTTTATCCATTCACCACTAATGGGCACTGATGTTTTCTGTGTCTTGACTATTGAAAATAAGGCTTCTTGACATGGAGGTGGATGCAGGGATTTCTTGGACATATTCCTTTGTTTTGTATGAGTATGTCTCCAGAAGTGGAACTGCTGGATCCTATGGTAGTTCTATTTTTCCTTTTTTGAGGAACATCCATCCTGTTTTGCCTAGTGCCAGTCCCAATGTGCATCCCTGCCAATGGTGCCCAAGGGGTCCCTTTTCTGCATATCCTCACCAGCATTTGTTATTGCTTGCCTTTTTTTGGATAGCTATTGCAATTGATGTGATGTGATATCTCAGTATGCACTTGGGTTGTATTTTTCTGTGGCTTAGTCATGTTGAGAACCTTGTTTTCTATGGTTTCTCATCTATTTATGTTCTCTGGGAAAATGCCGGAGAACTAGACACTGTGTCTGGGGTCCAGGAGCAAGACTCCATTAGATCTTTAGAGTCCTCATTTACACATACGGGAATGGAAGCAGAACCACTCTGTTGGCTGATGTGAGGGGGCTGGAATAAGAAAGAGGACACTGCGGGAGTGGACAGAAAAGGAAGAAAGGGAGGGATCTGAAGTCCTTTACTCTGCCATGGAGCCTGGAGAGCCTGCTCCTTTGCCCCTGTGATGCTAGAAAGCCAGTGCCTTGAGGACCCTCGAGAAAAGGCATCCCTTTCTTTGTTGGTGTGCCTGCCTGGGGCTGTCCCATGAGATCTGGAGAACACAATACAAGGCGCCTCCTTGTCCATGGTACCTAGTGAGTTCTGCCAGAGGAACTGGAGCAGGGAGAGTCAGGCACAGGCCATTGTGGTTGTCCCCCTACCCAGAAATAGCTTGAAACTCTTAGTAGCATTCTCCCTGCAGTCTAGGTGGTTAAAGGGGTAGGTGGGCTCCTAGAGCTTCTCAAATAATCACTTAGTAACTAGACACTAAGCATTTCCCCATGCCAGGTACCTTGGTGGGCCCATGCGTGGAGGTGAAAATTCCTAGGGCTCCTCTCTGCCTCTAGGAGCTCAGAGACTAGAGATGGACCGAAGCACAAAAGCAAAGACATGTGAAAGAAAAGATCAAGTACACTATACTACAAACGAAGTGTGCTATGAACGAAGGCTGGAAAGTCATTGGATAGGAAGGCATGAAAGGCCTCACGGAGAGGTACTTGCTGAGAACAGAATGATAAGAGGGAGCTAGATGTGCACAAGTCAGGGTGCAGTGTGTCAGGAAGAAGGTACCACTGCTGCAGACACTCAGTAACTGAAGCTGCTTTGGCCAGAGGAGGTGAAAAAGTCAGGCAGTGTGGCTGGAGGGAAACTAGGAGGAGAACAGAAGGGAGGGAGGGAGGGAGGAGGGCAGGGAGAGATGCTGAAGCCAGGGAGACTGTTAGTTATCAGTTGTTCCTCTGTGATGGCATTGCCCCAATACCTGCATCTTACAGTGCATATACTTAATTTCTCTCCAATTTGTGGATGAGGTATCCAGGCACAAATTAGCTTGGCTCCCCAGGCTCAAGGTGTGTCAGAGCATGTGGCTGTGACTGAGGCTAGACTGGCAGAGGATTTTCTCCCATGTCAGCTCCCATGATTCTGGAGGCCATTTGGACTCAGAATCTGAGTTCCTGTGCCTCTTTTGGCCTTGGCACTGCCTCAGTTCTCTGCCCTGTGAGCCTCTATAGATGGCAGCTCAAAACATCTGTGCTTGCTTTTTGGTTCAGAGACAGAGAAGCAAAAGGGAAAGGGAAAGAGTGAGAAGTGCACCAGGAGAAAAGTAACTAGGAAGGGAGAAATTCTCTGCATGACATCTAGAGAAACTCTAGACATGATATTTCATTACATTGACTGTATGCTATGGGTCAGGAGCCAGTCCCTAACCACCTAGAGGTTACAGAGCGATGCCTATAACAGAGATCAGCATCCCTGGGAACCCTGGTGAAGGCTGTTCCCCTCATAGACCAAAATGAGGCAACGGGGTCTCATTTTTAATGTAACAGGAAATAATTAAATGGCTTTACTACAGAGGATGACAAGGTCTACATCTTCGAGGATTTCCACCCCATCATGGTGTCACATGAAAATGAGGACAAGGGACACGTGACATGGAATCAATATTATCCACATACACCTGGTGATGTCCCATGGAAGTCAATTCTAGCCTGATCCCTACTCTGCAGGTTGGCAAAGTAGGGAATCCGTGAGAGACCCAATGACTGAGGACACAGTACTGGGAAAAGAATCAGAGAAAGAAAGGTCTGACATCAGCTCTGTCTCCGGAAAGTTAGGGCCCTAGTTACATTTCCAGAGACTTGTGGCCATGGCATTTTTGGCACTTTGTGTACAGTTAAGGAGAGGACATGGGAGAGAAAGGTAAATAGTCAAGTGCCCAGAAGGGGCTCTGGAGAGTCCTGCCTGAACGAAGTGGCCCAGGGAGTAGAATCTTGACAGAGTGACCTCACTTCCTTTGTGATGGGGCCCAGCTGAACTTAGAACTCTGGGAACATTCAAAAGACAACCTACTCTCCAGCTCACTTGAGAGGAGACGTTCAAGAGAACAAGATGTTCTGTTGTTGTGTTCCCACTTTCAGGAGCTCTGGGCCCAAGACAGCCCAGAGTGAGAGACTTTTATGTCATTGTAGACGTTGGCTCAGCCCTCTTTCCCGAATCTTCTGGTCATGTGGCAGGAGACACCAACAGGTAACACAAGGCAGCTCAGGGCAGCCCCCTGGAGAGCAGACAACAACTGTAATCCCATCTCAGCAGGCCCACACCTCTTGCCCCTCATTGTGTTTGTGTGTGTGTGTGTGTGTGTGTGTGTGTGTGTGTGTGTGTGTGTGTAGAAGATGGGACAGCGGCTGAAGGATATGCCCTTCCCTGGCAGAAGCAATCTGCCAGGGGTTGGAAGCCTGGCATATCTTTCATGTTCATACCGCAGATCATAGCGGGCAGGATGAGAAGGTGAGTGCTGAGAACCAAGCTCACCTACCTGTATGTTAATCAGGAGCCTTAGAGTGTCATCTGGCTACTTCCTTGCTCAAGGTCTTTTCACCTGCCCCACTTAGCCTGAACTGGAGTGCACGATTTCTTTCTTTCTTTCTTTCTTTTCTTTTTTTTGAAGTTTTAATTATTTATTTATTTTTAAAATTTTATTATGTTATGTTAATCACCACACATTACAGCATTAATTTGTGATGTAGTGTTCCATGATTTCTAATGAGGGTGTCCCCTTTTGGCAATGTCCCAGGAAGACACTAATGTCTCTTGCCCTGTATATATGGGGCACTGCCCTTTCAGAGCTGCACCCAGGAGATCTTGGATGAGCTGGTCTGGGACTTCAACTACTCCAACTCCCTAGACATGTGTCAGGTGCACCAGGCCACCCAGGATCAGTGCTACTGTGAGGTGAGAACGGGAAGAGGGTTGTCCACACTCAGGGCCCCCACACAAATATGGGGACAAACCTGGAGCCCTCCCATAGTGTTTCCACATGAGTGTCCCACAGACCCAACCCCAGAGTAACCCGAACAGCCACACCTCCACCACCATTTATGGGAGAAGGGAGAAAGACACTCTTCTCAGATGTGGGAATGGTACTGGATATAGTTAAAGACTTTTGTGGTTTGGAGGGCCGTTATTTGGTTTCCTTTGGTTTTGTTTTACTTCTCACGAAGCCATGAGGATCTTTGCATTTTACTACTGTTTTGATTACTTTCCCTACTCACCCCAGCTACCCTGTGTAGAATCTAAAGCCCCTGTTCTTGAAGAACTTGTCCGAGGCCTTCTAAATCCTCACACTTAATAGGATGATTGAACATAATAGGTGGAATGAAGCCATTCTGTATCTTTCTCTGTAACTTATCATCTCTCAGAACAAACACATCACATCATTGTAGGTCCACCAGGTCACACACTGTGTCCTTCTATGTCTCCATAGTCCTCCATAAAGGAGGCCATCTACCACAGTGATTCAGCCTTTCAAGGCTGGTGGAACGTGACATTCAATTCTGTTGTCATTTCAGCAGTGCTGCAAGGAACACCTTAAGTGTCCTAAAAGACTGTTTTAGTGGCTATATCTGCCAGAACATAGAACCACACAGAGGTTGGGGAAAGGCCTCTGATGCCTCCTGGCCCAGGTAACTGGCTCTGTCTTTGCAGAGTTCCACCCGGGACCTCTTGGATGAGCTGCTCTACATGTTCAGCTGCTCCCTGTCCCTTGACAAGCAGCAGGTGTATCAGGCCACCAACAACATCCAGGGCTGGTCTGGCCTGAGAAAAGGTCCCGATTCATGTTCAATCTCAGGACTCAGGGCAAGGCCGGAACACAGACTAGAGATCATGGGCTCCCCTGGGGCCTGCCGAGGAAGGTGGTTTTCCCCTGAACCTTTCTCCCCATGTCAGGAACAGACCAAGCCTCATCAGCATAGGGGAAATGCCAGACAGCTCATGCTTTGGACAGTCCTCAGGCCCAACATATATGATCCTGAGCAGCGTTTGAGATTCTCCCCCTCTGGTTTCTCGTTCTGCAGTAGGGATGTTTATGGATGACTCAAAGGCCTACAAGTCTTAATAAAGGCTATTAGGAGAGAGAAATGCTATTGTGGCTCAGCTAACAGAACATGTTGAAGTGACCAATGGTTTATCATTTCACCCCTAAATCCAATTGTACTTTTAAGCCTAGAACCTTTCTCTGGGTGGACACTCAAGGCCCTTCTCTTGCACAAATTCACAAAGGGATGGGAGTCTGTGGTCTGAGTGCCAGACCCTGATCATCCTGTGGATTGGTTCATGGTGTTGAAACTGACTACATTGCCCCCCCTCCCTTGTCTACCTCGTGGGAAAAGGAATCAACCCTGTCCCTGGATGAGGCTTGCACGATGCTGATGCTCAAAGAAGGCACAGTGGAGAACTTCCTACACTCCTGGGTACCATCCTTCCCGGATAGAAGCATCTCAAATATCACCACCAATTTCTGCATCGATCAGGTGTTCATCTCAGCCCAATGGGTCCTGGGCCAGCAGTTCAATAGGTTAGTGCCCACGCCATGCTCAGCATAGGGGTGAGCCTCCCATCTACTAGCTGTATGTCTAGGGAATGTCACAGCACCTCTCTGACCTTCCCTTTCCTCTTCAGAAAAGTGGGGTGGTAAAAGGGTGAACCTCATAGGGTCACTGTAGGAAATCACAGGAGGAAACATGGCCTGGATTTATCTGGTTCCTGGCTCCGTGGAAAGACCTGCTGGACATGCTGGGCATCTTCATGGTTCATAGTTCTCTCTCTCTCCAGGGAACAAGCTCTCAAGCTCAACACTCACAGGCCTGTGGCCTGTGGGTTTACAAAAGGCAATGGAAAGTAGGCAGTTTTCCTATTTGCAAAGGACCTCAAGATTCCATCTAGCTGGTCCTGGTACTTGTCCTTTATGTGACCAGATTAGGGGGAGAACAGCCCAAGGGCCGCTCAGTATTTGGAAAGTCCTGGTGGGGATTTATTCATTCGATAATGGATATTAAGCAGCTAGGAATGCAGGCACGTTCTAGTCACTAAGATAATGGAAGGGATAAAGGAGATTCAATGTCTGGATCTCCAGTCTAGTCAGAGGGTCAGATCGTCACTCTACACATCATAAGCATGCATGTCCAGAGTTGGTTAGATGGGACATCTTTATGGCCTACTCTAGGTATGAATGGATCTACTTATATTTGGAGGAGGATGACAGACTATTTGCTCAAGGAAAAACATGATAGGTCTTTGAATCCAGAAGGAAGTCATGCTGCCTCGACAGAGCAGGGTGGGAGACTACAGGGGTTGTGGCTGGGGAGGGACTTTTAGAACCTCAGATCTCATAGATCTCTTGAATACCATGGGAGGGCTGAATTTGGGGGGGCTTCCTGGGAAGAAGCAAATGAGTCAAAGAGGGCTGTGGATGGGGTCCCAAGCCCTGTGGGAGGCAGAGCACAGTGTGGGCTGATTTGGTGCCCAAAACACCCATCCCTTCCATGATCCTATCTTGCTCTGCCTGTTCCTCTCTGCTGACCACCACAACTGGGGTCAAGAACAGAAGGTGTGGTGAGCAGACCACTCCCACATCTGCCTCAAACCTGAGCCCTGATACTGGCCTCCATGCAGCATAGAGTAGACGAGGCCCATGGCCATGAAGAGGAGAGGATAAGTGGACAAACCAGACTCATTCAGGTTTTCAGGACGACCAGGCCTTCTACTGTAAGGACAGCTCCAGAGGGATTGGAAGTGGGCTGGGGCCCTCCTCTGGGACCCAGGCAGTGAGAATGGTGCTGTGGGAGTAGCAGCTGGAATGTAAGGCCAGGCCTCTGACTCTGCTCCACATATGACTCTCCCCAGCACCCTGTCTCCCATCTTGGGTACCTGGCCTGACCAGAAATTGCAGGATATCTGGCAGTCCCTGCACTGTGCCTGTTTGGAGGTCAAGAAGACCTATGAGCATCTGAAGTGGCCTGCCTGGGACCTGAAGAACTGTGCCCCCCTTCTCCTACTGCATCGGGAGCTTCTGGGGCCCACTGAGGCAGAGGCGGAGGGTAAGGGGGATTGCAAGCTGGGAACGCTATCTGGGCTGGGTTTCTTGGGCTGGATATTCCTTGAAAGGCCATGGATCTGTCCTGTTTTTGTTTTTGGAAAGGCACATGGAAAGTCAGGGATGTGGAGGAACCTTTCTCTTTCTCCTGCCCCAGGGCCAGCTCCAGGGCTCCTTCCAGCTGCAGAGCCAGAAAAAGGGCTTCCTGTGGAGCGAGAGGCAACCCCGGCTCTGTTTCAACCATCACCTCAAGGGGCAGAGTCAGCCTCACCTCCATCAGCCGTTCCAGAACTGGAACAAGTGCTCGCAGCTTCCATATGTGTTCTGGACCCTGAGCCACAGTCAGCTGGACCATCAACTTTTCTGGGAGTTTTCACTCCAGCTGACAAAACAGAAAGTGAGCCCACTCAGGTCCCAGAGGCTTCCTGCCACCAATATGTCACCCCAAAGAACCAGCTGAATGAAGAGAAGGCCGACATCCTGGACTTCCCTCCCAAGCTGGTGGCAGAGCAACTGACATACATGGATGCGGTGAGCAGCTGGGCTCTAAGGGCAGGGCAGGGGCAGGCTTTTCTTCTGCTCTCAGCTGCCCCACACCTGCCTTTCCCTGTTGGGGCTCCTATGGTCTGGGACCCAATCTTAGCTCCACCACTTCCCAACCCTGTCAACCCATCAAGGTCCTCAACCTAAGCTTTCCCTGCCTAGCCGCGGACTGTAGAGTTAGACACTGAGAAGAATGGGGGCAGAGTTACTATGCAGATGAAATGAGCCAGAACAGATAGACAAATGGGCAGGCCCTGGTCCCTTGGCTGGAGGAGGGCAGCTCCCTGTGTACAGCCAAGGCCATGGGTTGCCCACCCGTCTGCCTTGGAGGCTGAGCACCCTCAGCATTAATTAGGCATCTGATGTGTACTTAAGGACAGGGCAGACCAACAAACCTGTGGTTGCAGCTATCATGGCAGAATGTGCATCTGAAAGAGGAGAAGGACCCGAGGGATGAATAGTTGGAAGGGTAGATGCCCCCTTCGGAGGAGCCACTTTGAACTACAACCTGGAGCTGGGAGTTCCTGAGGAAGGTCCGGGTGCAAATGCCCTCCTTTCTTCCCTTGCCACTATTTGCTCCTGGGTCATCCTGTACTGGTTTCCCTCAGTGAAAAAGAATAGAATGAAATCCAGGGTCTCCCACAAGGCTCAGGCCATGTTCTCAGCTTCCTGAACTCCAGCTCTGATCTGTGGCCCCTATCAAGGACATGAGTCTTGCATGAGAAATGGCTGGGTGAGCCAACGTCCCCCTGTTCTCTAGGAGCTGTTCAAGAAGGTGTGTGTCCAACACTGCCTGGGCTCTGTCTGGACCAAGCGGAATAAGCCTGGCAATGAGCACCTGGCACCCACAGTCCGGGCCACCATCGCCCAGTTCAACAGTGTGGCCAACTGTGTCATCACCACCTGCCTTGGCAACCCACGCATGACAGCCCGGGACAGGGCCATGGTGGTGGAGCACTGGATCAAGGTGGCCAAGGTATGCTATGGGAGGCCTGGCTGAGTTGCTCTCCTGAGCCTCGGGAACTGCTCTTCCCTTTAGCACTTCTCAGGGTGGAAGTTCCTGGTCTTAGCCTTAGGGCCTGTGCAGTGCCTAGGCTCTTCCTTCCAGGCGCCTGCTGACTTTGACTTGCACGACCCATTGGTGGGATGCTCAGTTCCTCCCTGGCTCCGTCCTTGGGGTGAGGTCAAGTCCTCCTTCTTCCCAGCAGTCTTTCCCTCTGGGCCTTCCATGTGTCCTTCTGCATGCCCCTGGACATGTGCTTTATCCAGGAGGGGAGATGTCCACTGAGGGGGACGGAAGCTCTAGAGCATGTAGGGCTCCTACTCCCCAACTGACAGCTCCTTGTCCCTCACCAGGCCTGTCAAATCCTGCAGAACTACTCCTCCCTGCATGCCATCCTCGCAGCTCTGCAGACTGTCTCAATTCACCGCCTGAAGAAGACATGGCAGAAGGTTTCCAGGTGAGGAGGCCTCTCCCCATGGAGGGACCAGGATGGAGGAGGGATCTCCCATAGGCCTGTCCTTTTCCCCTCAGTCATCTTGGACCTCCTGGGTGGCAGCAAACCCTGGCCACAGGACCTGGACTGCTGGGCAGGTCTCTCAGCTCCCCCCTGGGAAGAGGCACCAAGCCTGCTGCTTTAGAAATCAGTTTTCCTCAATATCCCACACTGGGCTGTGTTGAAGGAAATATTTTCCCAGGTTTACTTGACAGCCCCTCAACTCTCTGCCCATTGGAAACCCAAATTGACCAAAACAGAGCTGCTCCACTCATATGGGAAGGGAGACCCAGGATGACCCACATGAGAGCTCCCTCCCATGTCCTACAAAGACCTGAGTGCCCAGAGGATCCCCGAGAAACCCCTCATCCAGGCAATTTGACACTTGGGGTTCTCACAGAAAAGGAACTCACACTCAACCTTGCCATGGTATTCCTCCATTGATCCTGCCTCTTTTCCTCAATTCAGGAAGCGCTTTCAAAAATTTAAAAAGCTGTGTACCGAAGACAAACCCCAGGGCAGGAAACTGCTCATCAAGGTAGCATGGAAGGGGCAGGTCTGGACAGAGAGGAAGGCTGTGAGGGAACAGGGTCCTGCGTGGCTGAAGTAGGGAATGGCCTGAAGCATTCCTTGGGGAGGGGTAGCCTATGGCATGAATGTGATGACAGCCTGGGGGGAAGATTCCACTGGGGCTGGGACAAGCAGGTGCTGCCCAACCAGACTCTCTAGCCTAGACCCCCTGTCTCTCTGTGTCGACACTGGCCCCGACGGGGGCCCGTACAAACCTTGAGAGCCCAGAGGACAGGCCTCTGCTCAGGGATGCGGCTGGGATGGGTTGAGGGCCAGAGCAGTGATGATAGATAATAAGAGGACCCTGAGTCCTCAGGAGACCATGGGAGTTAGGTGGAGTTCTCACTTTTCCTGATGAGAAAACAGGCTCAGGGAGGCCAGGCTGCAAGCTCAAGGTCACACATGGACGGTGTGTTGGAGCTGAGATTGTTCTAAAAGCACTCATGGCATGCTTCAGGATAATGTAGCATCAGCTATCAGCTGAGTTAGGTCACATGTGTAGGGTCTGAAGTCCAAGATGGTGGGTCAAGTGGACTGAGGGTATTCTGGTCTCAAGGAACTTGTCCTTGGCCCTGCAGGAGCGGCCATCTAATAAATTTGCCAGCCTGCTGATGGACCTCCAGGGAGCCCGAAAGAGGGTACAGAAGAAGGTGGGTGTGCCTGAGGTACAGGGCCTCCAGTGTCAGAGGAGAGGGGCTCCTCCCTGAGAGCTGGAAGCCTCCAAATCAGGACTGGTGGGGCCATCAGACTCCAGCCCCGCCTCCTGTTGTCAAGGCTTCTCAAATTCTTCTTTCAATTGGACCACGGGGAGGGGCTAGAAAGCTGGATACAGAATGGGCTTTGTGGGTGGGGAGGGTCCCGGGGCTATGTACCCTGTGATTTTCAAAATGCAGGACCTGGAGGTGAGTAGGAGGAGTCCGATGTTCTGGGAGCGTGAGGGGAAAGGGCATTGCGGTCAGGTGGCAAAATGTCCTGGGCCGCTTCATGTGGGCACGTTGCGGGGGGCGGGCAGGAGGCTGGAGCATTTTCAGGGGAGGGTCCCTGTAGGCACCAGAGAGTAGGGACTCATCCCAACCCTACCCCTCATGACACAGGGTGTCGTCCCCTACCTTGGCACTTTCCTCACTGACCTGGTGATGCTGGATACTGCAATGGAGGACTATCTGGAGGTGGGTGAGCCTGAGGATTGTGGAGGAGGGCCCAGAATTCTGCGGTTTGGGAGCAGAAAGCCCCTGTCCTGAGCCCTGAGGTCTCAGTACTTGGCAAACCTCCCCTCATGACAGCTTCCCAGCTAACCCCGTGAGCTGGCGTCTCCTGCCCAACTTAGTGATGAGTAAGGGGAGGCTGCACTTAGGACACTGGTCCAGGTGCCCAAGACTGGTGAAGCAGCAGAGCTTCCTGAAGGCAAAGCTGCATGAGGTCTGTCTGAGTGGACCTCAGCCTCTCCCTCTGATGTTGCCTGTGGGGAGAGAGTGAAGTCAGGACCCTCCACATCAGCAAGCACTTCAGTTGCCCAGCAGCCCCTTCCTGCCTGAGGCTTCGGCCTCCCCTTCTGTCATCAGAGAGGGTTGTGTGACTGGGTCCATCCCTGTAGGTGGACCATTTGCCCCATATCCTCCTTTCTCTGGCCCTCAGAGTCTGGCCGAGAAGCCAGGCCCGTTATCCGTGTATGCACGGCCCCCTCACATGTCCTGGCAAAAGTGCAGGTTGACAAGTGGTGGGAATAAAGTGCTAGTAACAACCTGCGGGCTCTTTCTGATAGACTTTGGTTGTCTGCTTTCCAGGGGAATGAGATCAACCACGAGAAAAGGAATAAGGTGAGCACATGTGGCACTTCCTGTAGGGAAGGGTAGGGGACTGGATATCAGAGATGTCCCTGGGAAGAACATTCCTTGGCTCCATCCCCTCCATCTCACATGGACAGGGACTGGTTGATAATAAAGAGGTGGAAGACCTATCCATTTAGAAAGTGGGGACAGAAGAATGGCATCAAGGAGAACCTCCTGCAGGAGGGGCTATTTAGATTCACCTCTGAGAATAGGTTGGGACTGGATGAATTTGCAGGCAGGAGGGTGGCCACGTGTGCCAAGCCACAGGACAGGTCTCTGTCCTGCTACTCAACCCTCACCAGGCCCTGTAGCTTCCTGCTCCAGGCCCTGGAAGCAACCTGTCCTTCTCTCGGCCCAGGAATACAAAGTCCTGACGGAGATCATGCTGCTCCAGGTGGCTGCAGAGAATTACAACATAGAGCCCAAGGATTCATTTCAGGCCTGGTTCCAGTCTATGGAGCAGCTCAGCGATGATGAGAGGTGAGGCCCATGAGGCGCTGAGTGAGGGTTGGGCTGGACTCTTTCTGCTGGCCGTTCCAGGGTTCCTTCATCCCTGGGCAGCCTCAGGCCTTGTTGCTGGGGTGCCAGACCCCAGCTGAGGGAAAACACTGGGAGGGACTCCTGAATGGCAGCTCCTGGTCAACTCACAGGGGTCTCTCTGTCCTTAGCTACATCCTGTCCTGCCAGCTGGAGCCCCGGTCCTAGCTGGCCAGCAGCACTCAAGAAGGAGAAGAACTGGCCACAGTCAACTCCAGGGCTGAGTGTGTGTCCAGTGGCAGTGCCAGATTCCTCAGCAGTTGGGGTACTTGTGGTGCGTGTGCCCCATCTGCTCAACACTGCATCCTCCCATCTCTTTACTTATTGGGAGATACAATATTGAATTGTTGTAAATAGTTAAGTGATGCTGGAATATTATTCGAATAAAGCCCTTTTGTTCCTCTAGAGCCCAGGAGTGTGGTTTGGTTCTTTAACTTCCTACAGTGATGGAAAAGATGTACAGACTCTCACAGTCATTCCTGAGCTAAGGAGTCTTACAGAGTCATCAGCTCTTGTATGTGGGAGGAAGGAGAAGAGCCAGTCCTCCTCCCTAGCTACCGGAGGGAACCTGCAAAAATCGCCTTACTCAGAGGACACGTTCATTTCAGTAGAAGGAATTTGGGCAAAGAGCAGAGACAGCCCCTCTGAACTCCTGAGATTTAGAGGCTGCAGGTCCTTTCACAGGAATAGCAACAACGACTGAAATTGGGAGTCTTTCAGAGTTACACTCCCCAGAACGACTTCCTGCCCCAGAACAGGAGCTACCTTCCTTTGTGCACTCTAAAGCAAGGAAGATCATTACCTGCTTCTTCTGTTGAAGTGGTGTTTTGTTTTTGTTTTGTATTTGTTTTGACTCAGTATTTGGAACTTGTAGTTTCCTAGTTCAATCTCTGGAAGTGCATCAGCACTAAGTGGGGAATACATGTAAGGAGATCAAATCCTGCATATGGATGGATCAAAGCCAGAGGAAGATAATTTGCAAATTGCCAAAGAGCAGGCAGGTGTTTCCATCCTCAGTTTTCTTCTAGGCACTCCGGGTTCACCCTTGCCAAGATTGAAATCCTCCTGGGATCCTTGTCAATTATCTCTGGATTCCTTTTCCTGCTTGTTTTGTGTGTGTGGGAAAGATGGGAGGTGTACCTTTAAGGCCATTATTGAGCCTAAAATCATTAACATGTATGCTGACCTAGGAGCTTGGATTTCCAGCATGCCTGCATTTCCTTTTGCATTTCTTTTGAATGCAATTCCCTACAGGCCGCAGCCTCTTGCTCAGATCCATGGGAGCCACTGTTCCTTTTGGGACCTGATGGATCAGGGATTGGTTCTCTCTTGCCAGGATAAAGGTCCATATCCTTGCCCAGAGAAACCCCACACTCTCCTTACTAGCCAAGGGGACTTTTTTAGGTCCCCGTTGTTCTGATATCCATGGTCTCAAACATTCACCAGTTTACACACTCAGTCTCAGTTTACACAGTTACACTGACTTGTCCAAAATTGGGAACTGGGCTTGACCCCCTCGACCTAGGGACACCTGCAGATTGAAAGTGAGCAGATAAGAAGCATCTATCATGCAAATGGATGCCAAAACAAAGCAGGGGTAGGAATACTTCTGTCAGACAAAACAGACTACAAAAAAGAGTGTAATAAGACACAAAGAAGGACGCTACATCAGAATAATGGAGACAATGCAACATGAAGATAGAGCAATTCTAAATATTTAGACACCCAACATAGGAGCACCCAAATACATAAAACAGCTAATAACAACCATAAAGGGACTAACTGACAGTAATAAAATACAGTAGGGGACTCTAACACCCCACTTCTATTAATGGAGACATGATCCAAGCTGAAAATCAACAAAGAAATGATGGCTTTGAGTGAAGCACTGGTTTTAATAGATATAGAGTGGAATAGAACATTCCACCCTAAAACAGCAAAATACTCATTCCTTTCAAGTGCACATGGAACATTCTCCAGAAGAGATCACATATTAGGCCACAAAACAAGTCTCAACGAATTAAAAAAGATGGAAATCATCTTTTTTGAACTAGAAATCAACCATAAGAAAAAACCTGGAAAGACCATGTATACATGGACATTAAATAACATGCTACTGAACAACGAATGGGTCAACCAAGAATTCAAAGAAGAAATCAAAAATTACATGGAAACAAATAAAAATGACACGACAAGGGTCCCAAAATTTGGGATACAGCAAAAGTGAATCTAGGAGGACAGGTTACAGCAATACAGGCTCACATCCAAAAGCAAGAAAAATCTCCAATAACATAGCCTGATACAGGGGCGCCTGGGTGGCTCAGTTGGTTAAGCGACTGCCTTCGGCTCAGGTCATGATCCTGGAGTCCCGGGATTGAGTCCCGCATCGGGCTCCCTGCTCAGCAGGGAGTCTGCTTCTCCCTCTGACCCTCCCCCCTCTCATGTGCTCTCTCTCTCTCTCTCTTAAATAAATAAATAAAATCTTAAAAAAAAAAAAAAACATAGCCTGATACAAAAGGATCTAGTAAAAGAACAACACAGAGCTCTAGAGTAGTCAATCATCCTTGGCGAGTCGGAAATCTTGCTGTTGGGCCCATGCATAACTTCCATGTCTGCTCTATGTCCCAGCCTGGATGGTGTTCTTTCCTTTCTTCCAGAATAATTCCTACTGGGGCCACTGGGGAATCAACACTTTAGGGAATTCTAGAATGAGAGAAACTGCCAAAAAGGCCCGGGAAACAACCATCCCTTTCCCATTTGTTGTATCAAGGTGGCCAATTAGCTTTCTCTTTCTGGAACATACAACAGTGGTTTTTTTGAGAAGATCCTCTCAGGTTCTGATCCCCTGGGGATCTCATGAAAATACAGATTCTGATTCAGTAACACTGGGAGGGACCTGAGACTCTGCATTTTCAATATGCTCCCAGCTGATGCCGAGGCCACTTGTCCAGGGACCACACTGAGAAACAAGGTGCCAGTGGACCATTCGACAAAAGTTTTCTGTTTCACCACCAAAAACAGAATTTTCAGCAACATTTTAGCAGCAACAAAGAGGTGTTTTTATTGTCAGGAAGATAAACAGCCAGGGTGGGGCTTTGTCCACATCTGCAGGCCTCTCCTCTCGTTCTCCTCCAGGATATATCGAGGCAGGATGGAAGGGGTCAATAGTGTGTGAGTTTCATTAGGCCAGTGGCTTTAATTTCCTTTGCCCTCCTATATCTCTGTGATGTGTGCAGAGCACAAACTCCTTTCAAGAGGAATGGCCGAGGCTGAAAGGGGGTAGGGTGGGAGCCTGAGCTCCTGAGTCAGCCCTGGCATGTGGGCAGAGGCAGGTGCTGGTGGCCACTCCATGTGTGGGGCGTGGGGTCACTTGGAAATCCCCATGAACCAGCCAGAGGAGCTTGAGAGAGGAGTGGCATAAGACACTGCTATAAACTACACTGATTTCCCAAAGGATTTTACAAGTGCTCACAAGTTTTAACCTGAGCCCTGTGGGTCCTTTATGAACAGGGAGATTATGGTCAGGCTTCACCACAGCCTAAGGGTGCAGAACAACGGGCCTTTGTGGAGCCAGGCATTCATATTGAAGATAAAATATTCGCTGGGTGGTCCAGGATAATGAAGGCATTTATTACTCCAGCTAAGCACATGTATGTCAGACTGATCCACAGATTACCCGTACAGAGTCTGTGCTCATGAGGGCTCCAGAAGGGTGAGGCTGGCCGGGTATAGATTTGGGATTAAGGCACCAAAGATCAAAGTGGCTCAGGAGGACGAAAGAGCTGTGACCTGAGGATACAATGGAAGGAGGAATACCATTGCACTGAAAACAGACTGGTTTCCAAGAGTGTCTTTAAAAACTCTGAACTACAGAGAAATTGGACTCAATCCAGCCCTCAGAGGGAAAACACACACCAAAACAAAACAAAACAAAACAAAACAACAATGGAAATTTATTAAGGGCTTAGGAAGCCAGGTGTCCTGGTGACCTGAGCACAGATCCACAGTTAGAATCTGGGAGGACAAACCACTGGGTTGGCCATGACCTGATAAGTGACCTTGGACCAATTGCATTTGCCTTTCATTTTCCTCATCTGCTGGGGACAGAGATTGACTCTAGGTTCCAAAGTTGGCAGGCCTCCAGCAGAATGCAGCCCAAAATGCATATTTACTCCATTCCATTTTGTCTACAAAAGATAATTTGGGGGCACCTGGGTGGCTCAGTCAGTGAAGCGTCTGCCTTCGGCTCAGATCACCATCCCAGGTCCTGGGATCGAGTCCCATGTCAGGCTCCCTGCTCAGCACAGAGTCTGCTTCTCCCTTTTCCTCTGTCCCTCTTCCCTGCTCATGATCTCTCTCTCTCTCTCTCTCTCTCTCTTAAATAAATATATAAATATATTTTTTTTTAAAAAAAAGATTATTTGTAAGCCTTGGTGGAACACCTCTCTAAGAATGCCAGGTAAGGAGTAGAATTTTCCAGAAGAGGAGTACCAAATGTGCCAGGCACCACATCCTCTTATTAGCTTTAGGAGAAAATTTTTCTAAACAAACACAATTCAGTGAGTTTTGACACATGTATATACCCATGAGAATGAACATATACATCATTCTCAAAAGTTCCCTGATACCCTTATAATCCTTCTCTCCCCTAACTGTCCCATCACCAGGTAATAACTGATCTATTTTCTGTCACTGTATTTATTTATTTATTTATTTATTTATTTATTTATTTATTTATTTATTTATTTATTTATGTGCAAGGGTGCTCTTTATTTTTTTATTTAAATTCAATTAATTAACATATAATATATTATCAGTTTCAGAGGTAGAGGCCAGTGATTCATCAGTCTCATATAATACGCAGCGGTCATTACTCATGTGCCCTCCTTAATGCCCATCACCCGGTTACCCCATCCCCTTGCCCCCCTCCACTCCAGCAACCCTCAGTTTGTTTCCTGTGATTAAGAGTCTCTTATGGTTTGTCTCCCTCTCTTTCGTCTTGTTTTAATTTTTCTTTCTTCCCCTATGATCCTCTGTTTTGTTTCTTAAATTCCACATATGAGTGAGATCATATGATAATTGTCTTTCTCTAATTAACTTATTTTGCTTAGCATAATACCCTCCAGTTCCAGCCACAACATTACAAATGGCAAGATTTCATTTTTTTGATGGTTGAGTAGTATTCCATTATAT